TGGTAGCAAAGTTAATGAAAATATGAGCTGTTTAAGCATGTTTGCTGCAAAATACATCGTGCACAGCCATGTCCTAACACAGACAATTTGGAGACTTGTTTCACTTAACCTAGGAATGTCCCACTTCCATGAAGAAGTTAGCTGTCAGCCCTCAGTTGGTTGGGCATGGTCTCGTGTACTGAAAGGTTCAATTCCCAGTCAGGGCACATGCACAGGTTTCAGCTTGATCCCTGGTAATGGGTGTGCAGGAGGTAGCCATCAATGTTTCACTCTTACATCTATGATTCTCTCTCGCTCCCTCTCTCCCCCCAAAAAAACAAAACAAAACAAAAAAAACCTAGCTATCAACCAAAGAAAGTTTCTTTACTGGAAAATAAGAAAATGTGTTTTTGTTTTTTGTTGTTGTTGTTCATGTGGTATAAAAGATAACACAATACCCAATAGTCATGCAGAATGATAACCAAAGGGAGGAGCCAAAGAGCATGAGTGGTAAAGAAGGACGAAAATTGAAAGCCAAGATTGTGCTTCTGCCTCTTTGCTTTCATGGGTCTATAGATAGGAATGAATCAGTCAGGTCAGGCTCTGAACTTCTAGATAAGAAAGAAGTTTATCTGTTTCCCCTGAAAAAATACTGAATGTGGGTGTCGTCAGTCTACCGCCAGGGCATTCCTTAGGTGTGGCTGGCTTTGTAACTGAGAGGTGATCTGATATCATCAGTGTGAGACATCAGCTCAGCTTCCCCTGCTGCTTTCTAGCAGAAATGCGACATTGTGGTCCTGGGTAATCAGGACCTAGAAAGAGGCAAGCGAAGGACTGGCGTCCCAGGCTGAGGATCACAGGGGCCTTGCAGGCCTGTGTGATACTTGCAGGTGGATACTTGGTGGAGACCAAATCCGACAAAACAATCTGAGGTCTGAGTTTATAAAATGTCACTATGACTTTGATCATCAGGAAATATATGGACAAAGGGGACTGAAGAAGGTAGAGACATTACCGTTTAGAGTTGCAGGGATCGCCACAGGTAGGACAGCGTTCACAGGTCGGTCCTGAGGCTCCGGGGTGTGTGCAAACACACTTGCCACAGACACAGTCGCCTCGCCCGCTGCAGGGCACCCCGTCTTCAGAGATGCATGAGTCCGTACTGGTCGTGCAGTTGCAGTACTCGCCGGTCCAGCCACTCCTGCACACGCACTCGCCACAGTCACAGTCGCCGTTATCTGTAAAGCAAAACGCTGTTTTTTAGGGTCAAAACCACTTTCTGATTTGGGGCACCATCTTTCCTGTTTACCTTTAAACACCGTCAAAATGATGTGGGGGAAAAATGAGAAAAAAAGTGAGTGTGTCCAGGGGGAGGGAAGGGAGTGAGTATAAATATATTTTATGACATATATTTTGCTAATTGTATTTATTTATTGATCTGGTCTCTCAACTGAAGACCAGCTTGCTTACCTGATGTTGTCAAAGAGAATTCATAGCCAGGTGAAAGGAGATAATTGCTTTTATAATATTTTCCTTTAAATTTGGGTGCCATAAGAGAAAGATACAAGACAGACCTGGACAATACCCCATCTTTACAACCCTCAATCTCGATGATCATGAAAACCTCATCTGTAAAATAGAAAGAATAAGATCTACTTCTAATGGTTGTGCTCAGTGAGACAATGTGTCAACCTCCTGGCTCTGCATTCACTCATTGGATGTCCTACGGACATATAGTGAGTGCTCAACAAATTCATTTATTTAACAAACTTTAATTGAGCATATATCATGTGCCCAATATTGTATAAGGAATGAAGATACAAAATTAAATAAGACAAGGCCACTGAACTTATAGTCTCAGTGGTCGACAAACTCATTAGTCAACAGAGCCAAATATCAACAGTACAATGACTGAAATTTCTTTTGAGAGCCAAATTTTTTAAACTTAAACTATATAGGTTGGTACATTGTTATTAACTTAATCAGGGTACTCCTAAGCTGGCCTTTGCTAAAAACATCCTCAATCTGATTGAGGTACGTTTGCTGAGGTCGATCCCTTCCAACTCTCCCATCCACACTCGTCTTGTATACTTGTTTCGTCTATCTCCTTTTGTTCATCCTCTCTATATGTCCAAATCATCTCAACATACCTTTCTCAATCCTCGACACTACATCTTCTTTCACTCCACAACGTTTCCTAAAATTAACTTAATAAACTTTACTTAAAGTTTTAAGTCAACTTTGCACTGTACGTGCGCGCCTGCACGTGGTATTTTGTGGAAGAGCCACACTCAAGGGGCCAAAGAGCCGCATGTGGCTCGCGAGCCGCGGGTTGCTGACCACGGGTCTAGTGTTAGGAGACAGGCAAATAAATACAACTACTAATAAATACAATACAATATGATCATTGTTATACTCATGGGGAAGAGTTTCCAAATTAGACTAGAGTTCTGGGAAGTTTTTAGAGGAAGTGATGTTTGAGCTGACTTTGAAAGATAAAGGTAGAAGGAAGATAGAAGACAATGACACACATTTTAAGCAGAGAAAACAGGTTAACACCAGAAGTGTGTAATCCTGTGACCTGCTTAATACCCAAGGTAGTTTCACATAGATAGAGCCCAAGGTGTGGCAGGAGGGGAGGGGGGAAAGGTCTGCAAAAAGTCAGAAATCACATCATGGAAAGCTTTATGGACTAAAGTAAAAACTTTTGTCCCAAAAGTTAAGGAATTTTAAGTAGGGGAGAGACCTGAACAGATAGATATGTGTCTAGAAATGTCCTGGCATCAGCAGAGCAGGGCAAACTAGAGACGGGAAAACCAGTTGGGAAGATATGAGACCCTGCATCTTTGGGAATGGAGAGGAAAGGGTGTGCAACCAGGCAATTGTTAGGGTGTGGGTGCGATCGGTGCTGGGTGGAAGAGGAAGGGAAGAGATAGAATCCTCCCCAGGTGACCAGACTGGGCTGCTAGCTGGATGGTGGGGCTTTTCACTGACCTGGAATGGAAACTAGCTCATGCTCTGTCTTATCCCCAGTGCCTGGCATAGAGTAGTGCTTCATTATTGAATGAACAGTTTGCTCAGAAGCTGGGGAGGAGGAGAAGTTTTGCGTGGGGACAAAATGAGTTCATTTTTCATTCTGTTGAGTATGAGCAACCTGTGTGACATATTAGTAGGCAGCTGAATACAGTTGACCCTTGAACAAAATGGGGGTTAGGGGTAGTGCTGACCCCCCCATATACACACAGTCAAAATCTGCTTATAATTTTTGACTCCCCAAAAACTTGACCACTAATAGCCGACTGTTGACTAGACAGAAACCTTACTGATAGCATAAGCAGTCGATCAACAATTGTTGTGTATGATGTGATATGTATGATATAGTGTATTCATACATAAAGAGAAAATAAAATGTTATTAAGAAAATCATAAAGAAGAGAAATTACATTTACAGTATTTATAGACCTATGCATGTGTTGTTTAAGGGTCAACTGTATGTATGTATATGGACCTGAAGCGTGCGATTGGGATCCATTAAAGCTAGATGGCAGTTGTAGTTGTTGTGAATCGGGGAGATCATCTAGGGGATGCAGATGGAGTGAGACAATCCCTGGAGAGCATCAGAATTTAAAATGCAATCAGAGAAAAGGATGCTTTCCGAGGTAAGAGGGGAATGAGAGGATGTTGCAGAAGCGCAGGGCAGAGTCAGATTGAAGAATGAGGCTGGAGGCAAGCAGCTCATCCAGTCCTGAAAACCTCCATTTGGATCTGGCCACATAATACCATATGAAATACTATAAAGTGACAAATGAAGTATTTATTATAATGAGCTTGTGTGTTTTTTGGTGCCTCCCATGCTGACCTGGCGTTAAGCATAAGAGATATGAAGTAGTAAATCATAGAACAAAGGAGACAGCCACAAAAATTTGGAAGTTGGATTCTGATATATGCATAAACATATATACACACAAAAAAGACACATATGTCTCCAATGAAAGATAAGAGTTGAAATATATATAATATATTAGCATATTTATAGATCTATATACACACTAAAATGCATATCTTTCTCTAGTGAAAGATTAAGAGATGAAATTTAGCTGGATCCATGACATTAAGACATACTCCAACTGCATTTCATAACCTATTTAATTCATAATTGAACTAATTAATTCAAAGCTAAGAATAGTTAGGTGATTTAGGCCAAACCATTAGTTTAACTTTTATATGTAAGTTATCCTCTAAACTGCAATTGCTTTTTGTTTCTTCCTCAGCAAAAGAAGAAATTTACTTTCATGATAGGGAAAGATTTCTATAGTGAAGTTTATCCTGAAAAATTAACATGATTTATAAATGCTGTCAAGTGAAATGTGCATCTCCAAAGGCTTTGGGAATGCCCACGTATATCATCACATGTAAGATTCGGCTGGCAGAGATTTAGAAAGCCTTTCAAGAGCTCTGCTCAGAGTTAAGAAACCCTCCTTTCTGGGGGCCTTCCAGAACCATTCCCTACTCACAAAAGTTGCTAATTGATATTCACTACAACTAATTATCTTAAATACCTGTTCATACCATGACCACAACAAAAACTTTATAATGGCTTCATGTAGAAGAAAGATGATAACCAAAAATCAAGAAAAATTTATCAGGCTCTTTTTGGAGGAATGGATCTTTCTGGAATGCTGTTGGCTGATAACTATAAGTGCATAATGGCAGGAAGTTGTTGTTTTTTTTTACTATAATATCATTAGAGTTTCTAATCTCCTAGAATCAAAATACAAAAGACTAGTGGAATTTGGGCAAGAAAAGAAATCAGTGGCGTTCTGTATCTGTGAGGGCTTACAGATGGATGAGAAAAGGGGCTGGAAAAAGAACATTGTGACAGTAGCCTTCAGAGAAGCAGCCCATTGCAGAGCATAGCAGTTGTAAAATAAGGGAGGTCTACACAAGTGAAGCTATAGCATATTCAGGGCTCTGTTACAAACAACAGAGCGTCCATTCACAAGGCCAGGCACATAGTAGGTACTCCATAATTATTTGTTGAATTTGAATAATTGTACTTAATTTTAGTATCCCTTTTTATAAGGGAAATTACTAATAATAGAGTAACAAACATCCTTTATGATGTGACTAAAAAACCAAATAGCTTTCCAGAAACAGTAATGGTTGAGAATCATAAAGTACCCCAAAGTATGAAGGCAATTGGCATTGATGAAGTTCTGCGAGTCCAACTGAAGAATTAATTGTATTTTCTAAATAGAATTTCTTTAGCAATCACTGTATCTGATACAGAGGGAGGTACTGTTGTCAGACCTTGTGAACTATAATGCACAGACCAAGTCAAAATTTTTTTTTAGTTTCTTTTTGTTTGCAGGCATGATACAGAACAAAATGAAAACCCATCAAGACGCTGGAAGAACTGTTGCTGAACACAGTGCAGCAATTATTACTCTTCTCGATCTCTTCGATCTAAGATTTAAGGTGAAATATAGGTGGGGTTAGCATTGCTATTACATTGTATTAGCTTACACTTAATGATTTTTGAAAGGTAATTTCAAATTTTTTGAGCACATATTTTATCAAAAGATGTCTAGTAGGAATGCAGTCTGGGGTTCTGCTGAAAATACTCCTTCCAAGACATGGTGATGGTCTTTGGCTTTAGACTGTGTCCTGTGTGCATCTTGTGAAAAGAAACCAACTGTTGTGGGTTTGGAAACACACCCATTAAGTAAGGGAATACACCTTTCAATGAAAAGAAAGAGAAATGTGTCCCAATCTAGACAGACCCTAAATTTTTCACTCTCAAAGGGAAGAAAGAAGGCAGCCGCAGAGACATCTATTGCTAGTAACAGCAGCAGCAAAGAAAGGAAAAATAGGTACACTTCTAAGGGAATCACATGGTTTTCAAAGAACTTAGGCTTCTTTGAGGCTTCTTTTCTCAGGGCTTTTCCCCTGAAAACTAGTCTCTTTTATATGTTCCTGACCCTGTGGTTTTGAAAACATAACTTGCTTAGTTTTCTTTGAAGATAATGGCTTTCTGTTTTGAAAAGCTGCCTGCTCAGACAATGTGAAAAAGGAAGCCATGAGAGCTTAAGTTCAGCAGTTACTATTTCAACTGTAACACAAATTTATATCATTTTAAAGTATATAAACACATTTGTCATTCTTGTCTTAATAGATTATACTTAAATATATGTATATACATCAGGATGATTATGTAGTAGTCATGTTATATGTGGTATAATATATTCTTAAAGTGATTATACATCTACAAAAGATATGAAACAAGTATTTCTGCTATTTTAAAATTTTCTCAATTTCAAAAATTTCTGTAATTTTCATTTTTACCCTATCATAACCTTATTGTACTTATTCATCTTTATTATACCCCATTCCTAATTTTGTATCTACCACATAATAGATGTTCAATAAATATTTGTGAAAGTGAATGAAGGCCCTGAAAGTCCATTTAGTTTTTGTGCATCCTTTGTCCTTGGCATTATGCTCCTTAAGCAGCCTTGCTTTTAATTTTTCCAAAGTAATGTTTAAGAGTTGAGTAAGATGCCCAGCAATCTGATCCAGAAGAGTCTGGATGATAATGGAGTTCAAATCACATGCAGTTTTGTGGAATCTGTGTAACAACCAAAGAGAAGGCATTTCCATCTTTTACCTACTTACTCTTACGGAAATAATAATAAACATGCAAATTGAGTTGGCAGAGATCTCACTCCAAATGAATGTAAGAGCCAGAAAAAAAAAATCATTACCTTTGGTCTAAAGATGAACCCATTCAGTTGATTAGCAAATATTTACTGAGCACCTACTATGCCCAGGCAACTGTGGAAGGATCAAAGGAGGAAGAGCCCCTCCTTAATACTTGCTCAGCCGCAGAGTAAGGTGGATTTAGATATAGCCTACCTCCACACAGCAGCCCTTTGTGTCTCACGCAGGAGAAATTGTCACACTGGCAGTAAGGCCCATAAATGTTTCCATAGGGAGACAAGTGGCAGATGCACTGCCCACAGTAGCAATCGCCTCTTCCACTGCACGAGGGGTGATCCGGGGCCTCCTTGCAGGAATCTGTGCTCATCTCGTCCTCCCCGCACTCGCAGTGAGGACCCATGTGGCCAGGGTTGCAGGCACACACCCCACACTGGAAGGAGCCGTTCCCGTTGTGGCATTTGGAGCTGTTCACTTCCACTTCTTTCTGGCATTCACAGTTGCATTCTGGAGTGACAAGTATTTCTAGGATGTCCCCTAGCCCCACAGGCTTTATGATAATGTGCCTGCTTTTTCTGTCGCAGTTTGGTATACTCACAGACACGTTGAATGAAGCCTGGAAAAGAAAATACTAATTATCTTCTTCTAGCCACCAAAATGTATGGGGGGAAACAAAGCCACATGGGGATCATCTTTGCCAAGAAGCATTTATTAGGAAATCTTTGAAAATTCTTGAAAGGGGAAGTGCAGCTTCAGTGCATGAAGGTAACTTCTGACTTGTCTGAGTATTTTTTTCAGACCGTCTATTGGTCATGTACCTACCGTGTCTCCCACCTTCATGTGGGAGCATTTCTTCTGCTGTGGGAAGGACCTGTTGTTACAGATAGCCGTGAATGACAGGTTGAGCCCTTCTGTGTCTCCTAATACTTCCAGTTCCACCTCAGACCGGAGTTCCTTTCATTAAGACATAAAGAGTTAGATGAAGTCACAACCAGAAAACACAGCCAAAAAGAGAATCTGAGAATTGTATTTACTAAACTACAAATGAATAAAATTAAACTGTGTATAAAAGAAATTCACAGTATCATTAATCAAGTGAGCAAGACACACACACAATCGTATTTTTATCAAATCTAAGATGCTATTAATTATGAAACACATTATTTTATAACAAACTATAATAAAATACCTCGGAATCATTCTGCACAATATATGAATCAATGCCATCAGTCTATCATTGCTTTGAAAATTATTTTATACATTCTGAGGGATCTGGCAAATTCTCCAGCCCTGAGCTGCATTGTTTGACATATAAGAGGCAATTCTTTCACTTGTACTCAGCAACAAAATGTAACAACAGCTTCCTTTTCTTGTATCATCATTTTTCAGGTCCCATAAAGAAGTGGGTTGTTGCTTTGCAAAGAATACAGAATTGCAATCATTCCTCCAACAATGACTATTTGCTTCCTTAATATCAAATTTATACCCTGAAGCTCTGTTTTGGTACATTTCTGCATATATAATAACTTTTCAGTTTAATATCAAATCATAGTGTATAATTTTGAAGGTGTTTTTTAATGGCAATTTTTCTCAACATTTATAGTACAAAGAGTGCACTTCACAAATTGAATAACAATATATACAGTTATGGCCAAGTGCACACTTGTGCAGGAAATGAAAACAAAGGTGTGACTTCTGTCCAGCTGACAGCATTTGTAAGACACAATCCTATATAATAGAAGGGTAATACACAAATAGATTGAATGGAAGAACAACCGAACAACCAATCAAAGCATAATTAATATTCCTATATAATAAAGGGTAATATGCAAATGGACTGAACAGCAGAACACCCAAACAACCAATCAAAGTGTACTATGCTAATGATATGCTAAGGCTGCTCAACCACTCAGGGGACAGACAATCAACTGGTCAACCAGTTGCTATGATGTGCACTGACCACCAGGGAGCAGATGCTTTGACCGGTAGGTTAGCTTGCTGCTGGGGTTCAGCTGATAGGGGCTGAGCAAGATGGGCTGGATACACCCTGGAGCCCTCCCATGACCCCTCCCCGGCCTGATCATGCACCGGTTGGGTCCCTCAGCCTGGCCTGCACCCTCTCACAATCTGGGACTCCTCGGGGGATGTCGGAGAGCTGGTTTCAGCCCGATCGTGCAGGCCACTCCCCTTGGGAGGGTGCCAGATGCAGGGTTCATGGCTGGTGAGCACTGCTGTGGCAACATGAGCCTCTCCTGGGACTGATTGGGCGCAAGCCCGCAGCAGGCACAGGGGGGCCGGGATGAGTGGGAGTGACAGGTAGGAGCTGCAGGCAGCATCGGGCTGTACGTTTCTGCCCGATCCCTGCAGGCCACCCAGAGGGACCCCACCTGTGCATGAATTCGTGCACTGGGCCTCTAGTTAATTATAAAACGCATCCCAATTTTAGAGATATTAAACTGGGGGAGAAACTGTGTCTTGAAAGCAATATTGGAATTTATCGAGTCCTATTTTACATTTAGTGTAGAGTCAAGGTGGGGGAATGAGTATAAGTACAGATTTTTGACCTCAAAATGATTATCATCTTACTGAAAACAACAAGATGAAACCAAGTGAAGCAGGTAACATACAATGTCAGTCATTGTGCATTAACTTAAAAAAATAGTATAATACAAATGAGAGTTTGGGACAGTTCAGAAAAGAGGGTGATCGGTGAAGGCTGAAGTATTAGAAGACTAATCCTTGACAATAGTATCTCAGCTAGGGGGTCAGAAAAGAGAAAGCTCAGCCCTGGCTGGCTGGCTCAGTTGGTTGGAGCCTTCTCCCATACACCAAGAGACAGGTTCGGGGTGAGGATGGGAGGCAACAGACTGGTGTTTCTCTCTCACATCAATGCTTCTCTCTCTCTCTGTGTCTCTCTCTTTCCTTTTTAAAAAAAATTTCTTTATTGATTTCAGAGAGGAAGGAAGAGGGAGAGAGAGATAGAAACATCAATGATGAGAGAGAATCATTGATTGGCTGCCTCCTGCACGTCCCTTACTGGGAATCAAGCCCACAACCCGGGGATGTGCCCTTGGCCAGAATTGAACCTGGGACCCTTCAGTCCACAGGCTGATGCTTTATCCACTGAGCCAAACTGGCTAGGGCATCTCTCTCCTTCTTAAAAAAAATCAATTAAAAATATATCCTCGAGTGAGAATTTAAAAATAAGGAAAGCAAAGAAAAGAGAAAGCTCAAAGCCAGGAATGAGATAGAATGAAGACAAAGGGGCTCAGGCCAAGTCAACACTCCAACTGTTCTGAGAGACACCAGACAACAAAGAGCCCTGCAGTTTGGAGAGATGAGTTTTAGACCCATGGGAAGCATTACTGGCAGCTGTTAAGCAAGGGCTCAATCTACAGAAAAGATAGCTATAAGGGAGTTGCCTGGAAGGCTTGTGTCTAGAAAGCTAGAATGTTGATGCCTTCATCCTTGCCTGAGGCATGAGGGTTAGGAACGGGGCTGGTTGGTATTGTGATGACATAGATCTAAGAGAGGAAGATTAGATATGAAGCATGTAGGTTATACCAGAGGGGGAGATAAAGGCAAGGTTTTTTAGGAGGAAAAATGTCAAAAAAGGCAGAGGGAGACCTGTTGGTTTGGGTAAAGTTGGTGTTACTATTCAGACTTTATCTGTTCCTCTTTCTCTTACAAAATAAAAGTTTGTTGACATTGCTCTTAGTAATATTTTTTGGATATACAGTGGGGCCTTAACTTACGAATTTAATTCGTTCCGTGACGGAGCTCATAACTCAAATTACTCATATGTCAAATCTTAAAGTGAACGAGTAAGACACGTGATGCTGGGCTGATGTGGCATTCACTGTGACGTTTGCTACACCAACTAGCAGTGGGGTATCTGAAGCTGGCTCATAACCCGAATTTTAGCTCACAACTCAAAGCAAAAAATCGGCCGAGAGACGGCTCATATCTCGAAAAACTCGTTAGTTGGGACACTTGTAAGTCAAGGCCCCACTGTATCTCCTTGGGCAAGGGAAACAAAAGAAAAAATAAGCTAAATACATCAAACTAAAAAGTGTTTGCACTGCAAAAGTAACCATCAACAGAACAAAAGACGGCCTTCCAAATGAAAGAAGATATTTGCTAATGATACAACTGATAAAGGGTTAATATCCAAAGTATATAAAGAACTTATACAATTTAATACCCCCCCCCCAAAAAAAATCCTCCAAACAATTCAATTAAAAAAATGGGCAGAGGACCTGAATAGATACTTCTCTAAAGAGGGCACACAGAGGGCCAATAGACATATAAAAAGACCCTCAACATCACTAATATTTATAGAAATGCAAATTAAAACACCTATGTGATATCCCCTCACACTTGTCGGAATAGTTATCACCAATAAGTCAACAAACAAGTGTTGTGGAAAAGGATATGGGAAAAGGGAACTCTTGTGTATTGTTGATGGGATTGCGAATTGGTGCAGCCACTATGGAAATCAGTATAGAGGTTCCTCAAATAATTAAAAATAGAACTACCTATAATCCAGAAAGTCCAATTCTGAGTATTTATCTGAAGAAATTCAAAACACTAATTCATTGCAGAATTATTTACAATAGCCAAGATATGGAAGCACTAAGTGTCTGTCAATACATGAATGGATAAAGAAGTGGTGCATATATACAATGAACTATTACTTGAAAGAATGAAATCTTACCATTTGCAACTACATGGATGGACCTAGAGAGTATTATGCTCAATGAAATAAGTCAGACAGAGAAAGACAAATACCATATGATTTCACTTACGTGTGGAATCTAAAAGGACAAAATAAATGAACAAACTAAACAGAAGGAGACTCATAAATACAGAGAGCTCACTGATGGTCCCCAGATGGAAGGAGGGTGTGGGGTTTGTGAAAAAGGTGAAAGGATCAAGAAGTACAAATTGGCAGTTACAAAATAATCATGGTAATGCAAAGTGCAGCATTGGGAATATAATCAATAATATTGCAATAACTAAGTATGGTGTCAGGTGGGTAGTAGACTTATCAGGGGAATCACTCATCTATATATATAAAAGCCCAGTGACTGGAACAGCGGAATGACCAGAACGACCGGAACAAACGGTGGCTATGACATGCACTGTGGCAGCCAACCAGCCAGATCTGGGCCCCAATCAGGCCCGCCTCCTCCCCCCCCCACCCCCCGCCACAGCCAGCCCGGCCCACAATTGGCCCCCAACACCCTGACCAGGGGCAGGGTCAGCCAGCCAAATGCCCATGGCCCCACTCCATGGGGGCGGGCTGGCCGGACCCCACCCATGCACAAATTCATGCACCGGGCCTCTAGTAACTTAAATAAATGTCTAACCACTATACTGTACACCTGAAATGAATATAATATTGAATGTCAACTGTAGTTGAAAAAACATTTTTAATTTTAAAAAGTCTGCATTTGGGAGACAAATCCCAATTATTAAAAATAAAACAAATTATGAAATATTATGAATTAAGTTATACTTGTGTTCATCTAAAAGGATTTGAATTCTTATACCCACTTCATTGCTCAGATTTCAAAAGCATATTAAGCTTCAAATTTTCCTCAAGTAAATTTTGCCACCTGCATAGTAATATTACTTTGTCTTCCTCCAAATTCTAAGTTGCTGACTGTAAATTCTAAGTTACTCTTCTTCCCTGCCTTTTTATTTTCCTCTTATTATCACTCCTTCAGTGGACATAAGCTAACTTTTCAAAATATGCACAGATATTAAAGTGCCATTTCTCAGTCCTAGAGATTATTTCCATCATGTCTTAAGATTTTAAATTCTATCAAATTATCATTTAAATATATTCTTTAAACCTGTTTCATTTCAACTAGATATAGTTTATGTTTATTCATTCAGAAAATATTTATGGAGTGTCCACTATGTACCAAACACTGATTTAGGTGTTTGGAAAACAAAACCCACTGAAATAGTTTCTATCCCAGTATGGGGAGACAGAAAAGAAAAAACACACAACATAATACATAAGAAAATTATATAGCATTCTAGAAGGTGATAAATGCTATGCAAAAAAGTTAGAATGGGATAATGAAGATTAAGAGAGCGTGTGTAGGGTTGTAGGCTGCAATGTTTAAAAAGTGGTCAGGATTTGCTAAGAATTTCAAGGAAGTGAGGAGAAATTAGCCACTCAGATACTGTAAAAAGAGTATTCCAGGAAGAGGGTACAGTCCATGCAAAGACCCTAAGACATGAGTATGTCTGATTTGCCCTTGGAACAAAACAGCAAGGAGAATTGGGTTTGGAGAGGGTTGGAGGACAGTAACAGGAGATGAAGTCAGAGAGGTAATGGGGTAGAGAGGAAGAGATCTGATAGGATCCTGGTAGGCTGTTAGAAAGAATTTAGTTTTTCTTTCTACGTAAAATGAGAAAACAGGGCTATGTACAGAAGAGTGATATGATCTGACTTTATAATTTGAAAAGAATATTCTAGCTGTTTTGTTGAAAACAGAATGTAGGAAACAAAAGGTGGAAATGGGAGATAGCAATTAGGAGGTTTTGCAATAATTCAGGTGAAAAAAGAAGATGGTGGCTCTGACCAGGATAAGGGTAGAGGAGGCAGTGACTGAATCAAGTTCTAAATCATTTTGAGGATAGAGCCAACAAGATTTCCTGATGGATGAAATTGGCATGTCAGAGAAGAGGGGGTCAAGGATCGTTTCAAACTTTTTGGTTCTAGCAAGTGGAAGGATGGAATTACCATCAGTTTAGAAGGAGAAAACTACCAGTGAAGTATGTTTGGGAGAGTTCAGTCTCCTGAATTGTCAACTAACATATCAACCGACTTCTTAGACATCTCTACTTGCATGCATACTACAGAAATACAGCCTGGTTGCTGGGACCTGCTTGAGGTCCACCCATAAGCCTGATTTTAAAGTGAGACTGGTTAGGATGGTATGTTTTTTGCATTCCCATTCAGCCATGAGTGACAGCTGAGAGTCATGAGTTGTATTTAATCAGGACCATGTTTGGCCAAGCAACCTCAAAGAAGCAATAATGAGCACAGGGGTTGAAGGTGTGTCTAAAGAGTGAACATAATGATTGAATTTAAAATGGGGTTCCTGGCAAGAGAGAACATCAGGGGATGAGGAACTGTAAAGAGAGGGTAGGGGTCAATTAATTAAAGATTCTGATGGGTTGAAAGACATATGAAGGGAACTAGCAGGTGTGAGTTGAAAAAAATAAGAAGTGGTAATCAGGGATGGGTTGCATGCAGTTGAGATGTAATTGGCAATGACAAGGTTTAAGGTAGGACAAAAAGGAAAGGCATGAGAAAGTAATTAAGTGGCAAGGGGACAGGGTAATTGTTGGAACAGAGTTTAAGAAACTGAGAGGCCAGATATGGGAAAGATTTCACACACACACACACACACACACACACACACACACACACACAGAAATCATCAAGAATTAAGACAGGGGTGCCCTGGCTGGGTAGCTCAGGTGGTTGGAGCATTGTCCCAATGCACCAGGGTTGTGGGTTCGATCCCCCGTTGGGACACATACAGAGGTCAGCCAATGACTACATAAGTGGGTGGAACAACATGTTGATGTTCCTCCCTTCCTTTCCCTCTCTCTCTAAAATCAATAAATAAAATTTAAAAAATAGACAGGAGTAGTGCTAAAGAGAGTGAGCGGCCCAGTGAGTCAAGCACTAAGTGAGAAATGAGGGATGCGACCTAAAAGTCTGTAGATGACAGCAATTAGGAGTAGTGGGTGACATAATCTGCCCCAAATGAAGGAATTCTAAGTGTTATATAATTGAAATATCACGTCGCAAATTTCACCAAGAATATTTTAATGTGAATTTCCCAAAGAAAGGACATCCATGTTTATTTATATATTTTATCATATTCTCCACTCAACTGTTGAGTGTCTACTATGAACCAGGCGAAAGAAAACAAACCAAGTCACTTCCCTGCTGGAGTTTAAATGCCAGGAGAGGAACTTGCCTTGGGAGCATTAGTATTTCAGAAACTTTTACTATGTCAACAGTTCTCAACCTCTGGGTGGCGACCCCTTTGGCGGTCGAACGACCCTTTCACAGGGGTCGCCTAAGACCATCCTGCATATCAGATATTTACATTACGATTCATAACAGTAGCAACACTACAGTTATGAAGTAGCAACGAAAATAATTTTATGGTTGGGTCACAACATGAGGAACTGTATTTAAAGGGCCAGAAGGCTGAGAACCACTGTGCTATGTGGTTAGGGAAGGAAAGAAATTAGCGGATGATAGTCAAATTAACACACATCTGGTATTTAAGGTTTTTTTTTTGTCAACATGGCACCGTAAAATATCGAGCTGAAGTTTGTAATCATTAGTTATACACACAATCTGTCTGCCGTTGCTCCACTAGAAGTGAGGCAGAAGCGTTTCCTGTTTTCTCTCAACATATTCTCATTCCTGCCCTTTTCTTTATAGACTGGAAAGAAATCCAGTCTAAGGATCCCCACATTTTAAAGTCCTTTTAGAATACATTAAAAAAAAAATACCGGAACAGAAAAATAATTTAAACTAGTGCCAAGGTCTGCTGCATACTTCATCCAGAGAATCATGAAGTTTCAATTGTAACTCCAGAGCAAGATTGCTTGGGTAAGAAGAATAGACACTTCTTTGTAGTTTTGAGACAGTAAAATAAAAATAGGAAATTCACTTCAAATGTGTGATGCCTTGATTTCAACGCCGCTGTAAGTTATGTGAGTGATTTGGGACCATAGTGAGGCATAACCTCTGACAGAGTGAGCAGCACATGGGCCAGGCTGGGCAGGCAGGAGGGGGATATATTTTGGACACTGTTTTTGCTTAGTTCCTTTGAAGATGCTAGTAGACAGCACTTTTGAGAACGCTGGGTTAAAGAGAAATGTGTGTTCTAATTCGGTGAAGGATTGCTATGTGATTTTATTGGATTGGACACATTAAAACTCTTAATTACTGCATAAAGCCAAGGCAGGTTTTTTAGTATTTTGTTGACAAGCTTTCCTGTTTGGAAGAATTTCAAGCATGAGTTAATGTGGTGATAAATTTTTGATGGGAGCTAAGAAAACTGACGTTTCTGAGAATATAAGTGCAGGGGGGAAAAAAACCCCATCCTATAATTTTAATGGACATATCTGTATTTAATTCTCTGAAGAAATGTATTTGAGAAGGAATATTTTGCTTTTCCCAATTTTGAGTTTCAAAATTGATGGGGCAGTCTCAAAATAATTGGGGAGTTTTTTTCAAAATATAAAATTCTTCCCTTAAAATTCTTCTAAGACGTCTGTGAGAGACATCTGGACACACCTGTTTTTTAAGAGGTTTCCCAGATGATTCCAAAATGTCACTTAGTTGGGGAACATGGGTTCAGTATTTGCTAAGTATTGGCACAGAGTGCATATGGAATTTAGATGTAATTTTAAAACATCGAAAATTAGAATTTTATTCCTTAGGTATTATGTAACTGCTGTCTAGAGCAAATATTAGAGCTTTAGTGCTTTCTAAAATTTTTCTTGTCTCATTCCTGTCCTTATCATTGTGTGTGTGCATGTGTGCATGTGTGCGTGTGTGTGTGTGTGTGTGTGTGTGTGTTTTCTTTGTAAGTAAAGGCAAGAAAGGGGGATAATATTTAGGAACCAAAATCAAAAAGAGTTGACAATTGGCCATCTACTACTGATGAACTGAGTTATGAAATGGGAACAAAGAAAGGGAACTTAGCAACTCTGTGGGAATATATCCTACTTTAAGGGAGGAATTCTGTTCTCAGGTACTAATTAACAAAGTCAAGGCAAAAAAAGTGTATATATGCAAAACTATAAAACCAGTGGAGGATTCCTCTGGTTCCCCAAAGCAGAGAGTCCACAAAGGGGCATTGTCCCTGGTGTGCTTTGTGTTTTTTGAGTTATGATGTAATCTCACTAAGCCTGTGGAGCTGGCAATTTAAAGTTGTTCTCTCTCTCTCTCTCTCTTCCACGCAGAGAAGAAGGGAGCTTAATTGTATGACTCGTGGATCCTTTTCAGTAGAATTAAAATTTTGTTGTTGCTTATTATTATAAAAACAACCCCAGCTTTATAATCGGGTGTATGATTTTTCTACTTTCAGCCTCACCTCTCAGGAAGAATATCTGCAAACAGAATGAACAAAATGTATAGTTTGGCTACATTCGTGCAAGGAGATTTCTCTCTGGATAAGCGTTCTCTCTACCAACAAATAGAAGTGTAGTTAACTGCCTAAAACACATCTCAGTTTTTGAATACCCAACAAGTACCCCTCTCCCCGAAAAAAGAAGCCGACTGTAAAGTACCATACTTCATAGGCGGAGATGATCAGCTGGAGAATGTTCCCAGAGTCTTTCTGAAGTAGCCCTACTGTAGCTCCAGGAATGAGTTTTGCATAATTCTGTAAACAAAAAGAAGAAGTCAATCTTTGCTCACTTTAATTGAGAAATGTCAAGTGTGGGGTTCCGCCTGCTGGTTGAGATCACTTTTATTTAACCGGCTGTGGCAACAGGCTCCTGAAAACAAACAGACGTTGCTCCTGAGAGTGGAGCCCTGCAACCTTCGCAAAAGGGGGAAATGGACTGGCCAGCGTCGCTGCTGGGAAATCTAGTGTCAGTGACGGCCTCGGTCTAGGGCTGTGATCTATATCATGACAGGAGTCAAGTCTTAAGTAGTAATAACACTTAGGTAACATCCTCCTTTCATGGGGTGTCTTTGTCCAAAAATTCTGAACATACTATCAGGAACTATCTTCTCTTTTTTTGTAACAGTGCAGAAACCAAAATTTGGTATACAGGGGCCCTTGACTGCCATCAGCTCCCTTTTTTAGTCATTCAGTCCAGGGGTGTTTGTCAATCTCTTGGTGGAGAAAAGGTGTGAATTATTGGCTGCTTGTTACCTCCTCCCTTCCCAGCGGTATTGAGTGCATCGGATCCTCCCTCTACACCACTGCATCCCCATCTACATTGCTTCTCCTGAGATGTGGTTCCCACCTGAGTAGGACTCACCCATTTCTTCAACACTTCAGGTACTGAGCATGGCCAGGGAATGAGGCATTGCAAAGAAGGGAATTTTCCAGACTGTTGATAACTACCCCTCTCTTAAATTTTATGTTTAAAACTATTTGCCAACAGAAAGTTGTCTAAAGTGTACTGCACATGCCCCTATTTTCTCAAATAAAGACTCCAAAACATACTTTGATGTTCTTTTTCTTGAAGAGAGTCATACTTATCAATAATACCTATAGCTCTATAATCATTAAAAGCTTCTAAAGTCCATGATAGATCACACCCATACCAGGTGGGCCCCAACTGCTATGCTTTTGCTTCTTTTATTTGTTTTTAAATGGTTTCCTTCTCCTTGTTAAGCTATAAGGTATCATTTGCCTACCAATTTACTCATTTGCTGTGGCATCGACAACATCTATTAGGTCGGCTTAATATGCTGTGAAGAAGAAACAATCACTCTTTTTGTCAGCTGCGGTCTTCTAAGTTGCTGTGTGCTGTGAAATCAGATGGCTGAATTTATTAAAATTGTACATAGAAAAGAGAAGTAAGCTCTGAGTGAAGGATTTAGGGCATCTCCTGTAGTTCAAACATAATATCCTATTCTTATTCCACAGAAGATTTAAGTGGCTTAGGATATACACAAAGCAAATTTACAACTAATCGTTATCACTCATCATCGTTGTGATAGTAAGTAACTAAATCAGGACAAGGAGGACCAAGGAGAGGAACAAATGAAGCCAGGGCGACATGGTCTAGGAGGTTCCACCCACTTGCCAGAGGTGGGCACTTGGATTAAGTCCAAGCTTTCTACGCCTCTTGTATTAAAAAGCGGCGGCAGGTGGCGGGGGGCG